CACCGTGACTTCAGGCATGATTTACAGCACCACCCCAGCATTCCCTAGACATTAAATTACCTGGATTATTGGGGCTTCATGGTTTTTAGTGCACTGCTTTGCATTACTCTCTAAAACCCGGATGGTGTATAGCACAATATATGATGATATAAGATATGCCAGCAAGGTAAAATTGGACTTATTGGATTGTACTGGGTTTTATGGTTGTGATCTGTCTTAACAGATCGCAGTGCCAAGGTCCAAATTGGGAGAACTTGATAATATTGATATGCATATAAAATGATAGCATTTTGCAATACCTGCAATGCTATAAGAGAGATTTTTCTATATTAGAAATCGCTGAAAGACAATTATTGGACCCAAATTGCTTTTTGAATTTGTCCATTTGCAGAAATACAACTGGCCTTCAAGAAAAGCTTTGTATTCTTAGTTACCGCTCTTGGAGTTTTGCAGCCTGTAGTGCTCGTATTGTATGCTGGCCAGGGGGATGATGCATTTACATGGTTCAAGTTTTCAAATTAAGTGCAGCAAATAGAAAAATGCTTAAAAACATTTGACTTTGCCTTTGCAAATAACCAACATCAGTTCCAACTCCACACTTTTATAGTTTTTCTGAATACGCGGCATGTTGCACGACTGGATCGCTGGTATTATTATTATACTGCGCTCTGTATTTAGAGCTGTGCTGTGGAACGGATGAGCACCTGAAGTGCCTAACATTTTTAACAGCACATTTTTCAATCCTTTCATTGTCTTAGTTTGATTTTTTTATCTGAGCATTTTAACCAACTACTGATGGAGAACAGTAAACCTAATTAACTATAAAAATAGGAAATCCTTTGAGTCTAATGAAGAAAGCACAGTGTTCATTTGACAAATAGCTGATCCAGCTGGTAATATATTAAAGGGAACACAGCAAAATAATCCAGAGAGGAAATGCACATTTAGAAAAACAATTTTCCAGCAGTTTTGTGGTTTGTAGTTCAGGGTCTATCCCTGGGTCCGAATGGATGTTTAAAGATATGCACATAAGCTTGATTGGTCAGCGTACCATAAAAGCAGTGAGTGTGTGTTACATTTTTCACAGAAAGATTATTTGCTAAACACGTCTGCAATGCTCGATTCAATCAAATCCAGATAGTCTGAACAGTGTAGGTAATCATTTTATTAGAATCGTGGTTGTTTCTCAGTTACTTTTCATAAAACCTCTCCATGCAGGGCGGCCATGAAAAAACCCTCCATGCAGGAAAAACCCTCCAGGTATAATAAGAATGAAATAAATAAAAATGTCTCTATGTGTGAGGTTTGAAGTATTGACTCACCTGACTGAGCCACCCTGTCCACTGTCCTAGTAACTGTACAACACGACAGCCGGGTCACCCTGGTGCTTTCAGAGCCTTCAGATAATCGATGGCCCCGCACAATACCACCAATGGAGGATTACGAGGACTTGCTAAGCCTCTGCTGGTCAGCATACTACATTGATTTTGTCATACTTGTTATTGGCTTATATTTCTGTGCTGCAGAGTACTGTTGCAATTTTCTCTGCTTCTTCTCATCTTTTTCTTTAAGTACATCTGTTCTGTAAAGCGCAGTATCAGACACCAGACACTCTGATGTTACTTTATTATGTGCTTTAGAAACTTTTGTTTTCTTTTAGTTGCTGCAGGTTGTTACTGCTCCTCTGCAAAGCTGTCTTCGGGTGCAGTAACCACTAATGCTGGTTATGTTTAAATATAGCTCTGAAGTAATCTGTGATGTTTGAACAGATCTTTGAAGTTTCTGAAGCAGAAAAATTTTGAGTTTAGACCACAGACACAAGGGTACACACACCCACAGTGCACATTCACACACAACATGCACAGGCATCCAGTCAAGGTCTACTAATACCCCCCCAGCATGGGGTCGAACATTTCATGCAGTGATAAATGAAGAGGAAGAGCCCTAGCATAACCCATTGCTTGATTCACTATCTTAAGTCCTTCAGATTATTCAGCAGAGCAACAAAAGAGGGAACTAATGGTATAATTGGCACACATGCAAGGACAGAAAATCAACATACGCTAGTCCTATGAATGTGCTCATTAGGATGCAGAGGAAAGGTTGGTGGAAGGGCATCCATCATCACAGAGCACACTGTGATCTTTGTGTGCCTCTCTTACATGATTTTATGACACTTGTACAAATGATCACATGCTTCGCTTTCACCTTGCCCAAATCTGTGGCATTCCACTTCATCTATCTGCGCTGACTGTCACAGGCTGCAGGGAAAGACTGTGCATGCATTGGTTCTATGCAGCTCTTCAAACCAAGGCCGTCTCACAGAAAGTACTGAATGATCAAAGGTGAAGGATTTGTAAATCTAAGCGGATAAAACACATGAATGCTATCCTCTTCTGTAGGAGTGAACCAGATTATGTCTTCGTTGAATTTCCGTTGTTTTGGGGGAGTCCGACGTGCTGGGGTTATGTTTAGAAGCTTTTTCACTCCATACTCAGGTCTCTCCAAATGCAATTGAAAGTAAAGTCTTGCAGGCTCTTGGCCAAGTCCTTCCACTGGAAAGGGGCTTTAGCTCAGACTGACAGGTCATTCTTTAAAGCTCATTGTCAGGAATATAAATAGTCCCCATCTTACTTTCAAACTTGGCTGGGCAATTTACTGCTAGCTGCAGGACTGGTCTAAAGAGCGCGAGCGTTTTCCATGTATCATATGCTTTTAATCAGAAACAGTGTGAGTGACACAAAGTAATTTTGCCCTGTCTTGTATCTGAAATGGCTGTGCATCTGCTTGGTTGTTCAGAACACTTTTATTGTTTGTCAGGCTTTTGGAAAGTCAAGCCAAGTTTACACAATACACAATGTCAGATTGAGCTCTGTGTGATAGTGTGATTGGTTTTTCCTGTTTCTTTGCCTCAGTGTTCAGTGAAGAAGCAGGCGATCTATGAAGGTAAGCTGTCATAAAAATACCAGTGGGTTTAAGCCACTGTGTGCATTCAGCTGGGACCAGTTTAGCGTTGTCCGCAGACCTTTAAAGTGCCATTTTATTTGCCCATCACAGTTTAAGCATTAATTGAATTAATATTATAACATTAAGCAGAGTATAATACAATCTTAATCATTCATCTGATGAGTTGGCTGTTTATTTTACCCTTTGATCTCCACTTGGTAAAATTGAGTCAAATGCATTGAACTAAACCTAATAGCTAATGCTGTTTGAATATTATAATGCTCATCTAAATGTTTTACATACCAAATAAGAAAGCACAGGACAGTTACAGTTGTATTATTGATTCAGTCCCAGTAATCCCACTTTGCGTGTGCAGTGGCGCACATTACGCCCACTCACTCGGTTTGAATCCACTCGACAATTACCTACACATGGACTTACTGTGCTTGGCCATTAATTGGATTTTAATGTCAGTCATTATTTTGACTTCCACCTAAGAAGAAAACAAAGTGATTGGCATAAAATGCTTACACTCCCCCCTTTGTTTTTCTTTTTTCCCACTGTTACAGCCGTGCACTTTTACAACCCCCTAAAAGCTCAAACTCACTGGTTAGTTTCAGCTCAAGCCTTCGACTGAAGGAGACTCTTTGGTCAAAAAGCTCAATATCAAGGAAGCAGAACTCGCAGGGCTTCCAAAGGTGAACCTGCCCAAGTATTTTTTTAACAGTTGCCTGCAGCTGCTTAAAAAATTCACATACACCATTGACCAGAGTAACCTGGAATTTTGCTATAAGCGGGCAGCCTTATGGACTGCTGTGCACTGGGGGACCCTGGCAGGTTAAAGACCATTTAATGTTCGATCCAGCTGTGCGGGACAGCTGGATCGCATTACCCCCTTAAAGCCTGAAATATGAGATCATTGCCAGAAAATTTTTGAAAATGAAGAATTTATTGAACCATCTGACAAATTGGTTTAAAAATGATTTATATTTTAATTTCCATATACGATTTTATATTTTGTATCATATTTGCTACATCTGACTTCTTTTTTTTAATTGCTTAAAAATATGTTTTGCAATTTATTTAGTTTTTTTAAAGAGGGGGGGGATGTTACACTGATGATGTAGAAGTCTCACAAAAACCTGCATGTATCAAATATGATGCGTGCACCTCCACAGGCTGATGTCTTGAAATGTCCAGGACTGCAGTGCATCAGTGAAAACAGCTTCTGACACATGCAACAACGTTTTGAGAGTGTCAAGAAAATGCAACTTGTGCTTTCAAGTTTAAAGACCATCAGACTGGAGAAATCTACCAAACCCAAACTGACTTACATACCTGTAAAAAAAGTTAAACTGATGGTATATTCATGGTGATATTATTGGGCCGTTATTTAATTTTTCATTCATTTTGGTATCACTGATTGTAGCTGTGGTCTGGTCTGCACTTGTGTTGGTTTTCTTATTCACTGTGTGACCTCTTAAACACGATGGCCCATCTCCCGAGTTTAACCTGTAGTTACATTTTAGATGAAATTTGAAATGGCCTTTTTGTTTTTGGTCTACCACTTTAATTATGTTGTCAATCTATAAAACATAAACACATTACATTATTTCAAGGCTCTGTTGCTTGAAGTGGAGAAGGACTGGGTTGTTTTAAAAGCCATCGCTGCCTACATGACACTGGCAAAGAGATTAACACCACACTTCAGCACATGAAAGGAGTCTGATTTTGCATTCACTGAACCTGCCTCTGCCATTGAGTCTTTGAACTTCCATTAAGCCATTTATCACCATGCAGTGCAATTTATTTGAGTTTCCTAACACAGGGGATGGGTGCCCTCTCTCCTCTCCAAATATGCCTTTGTAGATTTTGAATGTTGAGCTTACACCGTGCAATGTCTGCACTGACCAGGGTGTCAGCAGTTGTCAAGTGCAGCCACCCTTCGCCATCAAAATAAGAGCATTCACCGCTGTTCTTATGCAAAGGGCTCATGGTAATGTTGTGGGTAATCTTGCTAAGATGTCTTCTTTTTATTTTTTTGTTTTCTTCAGTTGCCCCATCTATCCACGACATAAAGAGCCATGGAGTCGGTCTGGGACGCACAGCCCTGCTAAGATGTGAGGCTGCTGCAATGCCTTCTCCAACATTTGAGTGGTACAAGGGTGAAAAAAGGTGAGTTCGGATTGTTTACCCCTGCATACCCGCATAGACCTTTTTTCATACCAGATTTCTTCTGCATGTCATTGAACTACAGGAACATGTGTAATCAATAAAGGAGGAAAATCACTGCCTTGCATTTAGGTGAACTTACAAGCCTCTGGTATTGTGCACGCTGTTTCACCGTGACTCTCGATGGAGCTGAGGCATTGTTAACGAAATTAGTTTCGTGTGTCCTTTTCTTGCTATGACAAGTCGACACGCCATGAAAAATGGGCCGGTAGACACAAATATAAAGAAATCCGTATGATTACCCGGGAATACTTTTTTCCCGCAGAAGTCTAAAGTCCACATCTAAATATCAAATTTTTACTGCAATCGTTCACGCTGACATTTGACAATAACGCTTGTGTTATTAGGTCACACCTTCACTTGATAGAAAATGTATTACTTCTGCTTGTTTGCTTTTTTTCCAGAGACAGTGCATTTGTTTGTTCTGCCATCCATCCAGCCTCTGGGGAGAGCGCACAAAAATGTTCCAGCGAGAGTCATTTGTGCCTTGTCCTCACCTTGCATCCTAATAAAATGTTTGCTGGCAACTGGCTTAAATCATTCGCGACACATACATCAATCAGTCTAGATTCAAGTGTCAGTTCTTGAATTTAAAAACCAAATTACCCCTATTACCCGTCATTTACCCACTCCTGGTGAGCACAATTTCAATCATCAGCTCACACTGTGCTAATTGTAATTATAGGGTGGATTCAATTTATTCAAATTGCTAAGGAGGCAAGTTGGCGTGATTCTAGTCTTTACTTAATTCAAGGACTTGTTCTTTCTGTGACTTCTTACATGGCTAAATGTTGATTTCTTATTTACTCCTCATTATGAGCAGGACATTAGTATCGGGACTTAAGCATGGAGCACGTGTAGCTGCTGTACAGCATTAACGCTGCCTTTTTCACTGCCCAATTACTCGTCATGTAAAATGAGCCCCACTCCTGATTTTGGCTGAGTGTTGATGCAGCTATAGCATTGCTGCAGATGTCGTTTCATTTGGTCGATAATGGAAGGCGTGTGGCGGCTTCTGCAAGTAAATCTTTCTCGATGCATCGCCACTTTCGCTCTCGGATGACGGAGGAGAGCATTGACTAGTTTCACGGTGAAGTAAAGAGGTGAGACACATGCTGAGATTATCAGAGAATGTTCAGCTAACATTTGAGGAAATCGCCATGGGAGAGAGAGGGAACAACAGATTTGCGGATATTTGCTGGACATAAGGTCGCACATAATGCTTCAACCCAGAGTGACTCTCAAAGCGAGTCGAGCCAAGCTCGAGATCATGGGGGGCACAGCAAGGCCAGGATAGAAGTATGTCTCCTCTCTGGAGGATTTTATTGGTTTATATGTTTAAATATGAATCTGTAGCAGTACAGGCAACCGCTGAGATGAAAACAAGCTGTACCATCTACAAAAATCCCACAATCAGGATTCATAGCATATGCCTGTGCTGAGTGAATTTTAATCTCTGCAGGCTGTTTAAGATCATCACGCCCACAACAGTAAACAATTTAACATTTGTCAGTTTCTTAGCACAGATGCCAGGCACAACTGTAGTAGGATTTATTATAATCCGGCCGCACCTGCAACAAAAACGATGAACAACACGTCAAGTGGCACCCAGCTGGTTCACCTCTGGGTCATTTCTCTCTCCTCGCAGTCCTTCAAAGCGTCTCTCCAAGGCAGACCAAGGGATAAATAGATCTGTTGAAGAGAGTGATGAGCCACTACACAATCTGAAAATCCACTAAAGATGACAAACATTTGCGCTGCCCTTGACTCTAGCCGTTTCCACCCCCGTTACTTTGTGCTCGGGGAGAGAAATCAAAGCATCATTTGTTGTGATTGTGTTCTGTTTTTCAGGATTATCAAGGGTCAGGGCATCGACATCAAGAGCCTCAGCTCCAGATCAGTCCTCACAGTCACCAACATGACAGAGGATCGTTACGGGAACTACACGTGCGTCGCCTCCAACAAGCTAGGGACGGCTAATGCCAGCGTGCCTCTCAATCGTAAGTTGTCATTCTACCTGCTTGTGGCTAACTGGAGTGCTGAAGAGTCAGAGGGTTGGAAGAGTGTTGTGGATGTCAGTGGGGGGTTCTCTGCCCTCAAAAGTGTTTTCATTCTTTGCTACAATTTTCTTGTTATAGAAAAAAAAGGTTTAACCCCAGTGGAAGTGGTTGCCCACAGATCACCAGTAAAAAAAAAAAGATTATTTCCTAGACATCCGCTTTGTGAATCAGTTGTCTATTATTGTTAGACATCCTGTGTGTGTGTGTGTGTGTGTGTGTGTGTGTGTGTGTGTGTGTGTGTGTGTGTGTGTGTGTGTGTGTGTGTGTGTGTGTGTGTGGGTGGGTTGGTGCGTCTGCTTTTTAAGTCTACATCTGCATGTGTACTGGATAAAAACACCACCTGAAAAAGAAATTTAGGTTTGAGGCAACAGCGTCACAATTACAAAGGCAGCAACACAGGTCAATCCTGCTAAGTTGAATACCAAGTAGGAGTATGACTCAGATTTTAAAGAGGGCTCCGAGCCAGCCCTTTCACAGCTTTTCAAAGCCCATAAGGAATCTTTCCGAGTTCCAAAAAGACCCAAATATCAGAGGCCAAACTCCTGCAGTATCACTGATAAACAGCATTTATTTCTCAAAGTTAGAAGCATTCTTTTAAATAAATAAATCAGTATGTGTCCACAAAATAAATGAAGTCATCCCTGCAGAGATACTTCAGCTATGCTATTATAGCTCAAGTTTTCATTCTTTCATGCACAACTCTTCAGCATTGCCACCCTGACTGAATCAATATTGCATATGAATAAATGAGGTGGCTCTGCTTTTTCATTCAGTGCTGTTGTCTGCCTGAACACAACCTTAGACCTTTCCGCTGGAGAGAGAGGCTCTGTGTTTCTAGGATGAGGCTTACACAAGGCTGTCTGTTTTCACCCCAGACCAGCACTTACCCAGGCCCCTGCTTGCTTAAGCATTCAAAACAACTAATGAAAGGGAACTGGAGATTGAAGGGGGAGAAAAACACAACGCTGCATCAAAAGCTGTTATACAGCCAAATCATACCTGTGATCTCATTCATCACTATGTTCAGCAAATACAGGAAACAAGTACATTATTTGAGAAAATGCACACTTGAAACCAGTGCTGCCAGGTCATTTGGGCTGCAACACTGCATAAGACTGGACTCTCACACACATCACATCACCACACGCACTCTGGTTTTTCTTTATGCACACTTCCTAGAATTTATAATCTTTATAATCTCTTTCTGCTATTTGCACATTTTTTACTGTAAGTTTCTAAGTTAATTTGTAAATTTTTGTAGTAACCTGTAAATTGTAAATATTGTAAAACCACTGTCATTTAATGGTCGGGCATTGCACAGCTACAAGCATTTCACCCCCATGTCATACTGTGTATGGTTGTGTGTGTGTGACAAATAAAATTTGAATTTGAATTTGAATAACAGTTCTGCACATCCTCAGTTTGGCTTATGTGTCAATTTTATAGCTTTATTTGGAACAAAGGATCTATGTGCTTCAGTCACATCACAGATTTTTACAGATTTTTACCCTGAGTGAGATTTCTTTTTTTACATCAGAGAAAATATCCTGACTAAAAAAACGAGAAATCTCTTAAAATAACAAGTAAAACACACATTCTAAGTAGTTCATTCAGTAAACTAAGCCTAACTTACTAGTTGATATACAATTTATGAAAGAAGAACAAACTCCACTAAAAACTCTACATTTCTCTCGCATATTAAGTGTAACGCACATCTATAGCACCTGTTAAACCTGAATGGTGTATTATAGTTCTGCTTTTGTGAGTATGCCAGGGTTCACTGGGTCCAAGCGATGTAAATTTTGAGCGCAAAGCTCCGTGCCGACGTGCACATGCCTACCAATTTTCTGTGACACCCATTGACACATTACACTACAACACACCAATGCATATACCCTTCAGGTGCACTTCAAGCAGACTTCAAAGAAGCATAACAAGAATGGCTACTCATCTGTGATGTCTGCAGCTCTCCATGACGGTCCCGGCAACCGAGTATAATCCCTGCCTTAGTGGTTCTACAAAGTGCCTTACAATTCACTCACACACACACACACTCATACACCACTAGTAGAGGAGCACTGGACCCAAAGATGCTGTGGCTTGAGATCAAAGTTTTCTCAAACAGCAATCTTCAAAATTGAACTTTCTGACCATAATCAGCTTTTTGAAATCTGATCTGTGCGTGCCACGAGCCGCAGCTCAGATCTGAAAGATGTAGGAAAATATAAGAAGATGTACAACGTGCAGGCACTCAGTGTTAACCAGCATGTGAGTGAAAGGCTTTCAATAATGACGAGTCCAGTCGAAGCAGCTCTTGTTTGGGGACTGTGGGAGAGCATTTGTGTGGTAGACTATCATTGTATTGTTTTATGTCTCATCTTTGTGAAGCTCCGTGTTTGAATAGAGATCTTCTAGCACATAAAGATGCCGGGCTTAATCTTGTCCAGGAGGCAGAGTATAATATACAAGTCATACGTTTATATTATACCATCTGTGCATGTTTTGACAAAATATAACGCAGTGTTGTTACTGCATTTAAAAATGGAAAATAATAAGCACACTGGATAAGGTTTGGAAGGAGTGTGATGTGTTGATACTACTGATAGTTATGATTTCTAACACTTTAAGGAAAAAAATGTGATAAGTTTGGCACATCAGCATTGGGAATAATGATAATAATTCTAGAATAATAAAAACATAACAGGTGTGTCTGAATGAGGTGGCTGTGCATGCAGAAAAAATACTGTAGGATTTTACTAAATGGTAAAAAGTAATAATAATGCTACGTTGCTGGCTGTCACTTGGTGAAATCAATTGCAAAGAGGGTGCAGCACGAAAAGCCTTCCTGTGCAGCTTACTGCTACTACTGCACACATAGCTAACATGAAGACACCGACTTGTCTGTGGACGTTCTTGAAATTTGAAAAAGTCCAACGCAAACACTTTTCAAAAAGTGCAACTTTTACTTTGAAGGCGAACCTTCTCCATTTCCATTTTTCACTGCACTTTTCACCTTCACTGCTTTGAGAGTGGTTGCCAAGTGTTTGCAGACATGTCGGCGTTTTCCATGCAAACTACTGGCAACTGTGGCAATGTGCAATTGACCAAAGCAGGAGGTTTTTGGTGAAACACCAAATACATCCACCAACCACTTGCCAAAGTTGCAGAAAACATACATTTTCCTCATGACCCTTCGTAGTTACCAGGGGGCCACTGAGTGATCTGTAGGCCTGTGTGAAAGGGGGCTTTAGCAATCGACTTCACAGTGACTGCCAGCAACCTCCAACAACCACTCTCAAGCAGTCAGGAAGTACATATTTCCCTTGCAACCGGTGGTTGTTGAGATGATCTTTGACAGGTTTCCTAGCAAAATTAATACGTTTCCAATTCTTGGTTCTGTATGAGAAAACCTAGATTCATAAAGGTTGGACGAGGTTGTTTGACGATGATAACCTTTCACAGTTTTGAAAGTTGCAGCAGTAGATCCGTTCTCTACACTCTAGGCTTTATCACAGTCATGATGTCTACTGACTGGAGCCGAGGGCGGCGAGGGTCAAGGTATAGATTAGGTGAAGTGAGCCATCAGTTCATTTATTACAGGCCTAAGTGAAGTTCTTCATTGATCATTAAAGTATAATTGGCCCATTTTGTCAGACTGCCCAATACACAGAATTTATCCAAAAAAAGATAAAGTTCTTAAAATGCCCTAAGGCTTATTTGCCAGTGTAGTGCTTAAAAGGCGAGGTCTGTCGATCGTTTAATGAACAAACAACCTGAGGCCTTTTTTTTTTATTTCCAGGAAAGAAATCCACTATAAGCAAACTTTTAGGAAAAATTCCGACATGTTTGATGACTCCACTTTCCGAACGCACATATTTTTAAAGCTCCGTGAATTACTTTTCAACATCTTTCATTCCTGAAAGAGCAAGACACTTCTTTTATGAAATATCTGTCTACAATACATGCATTCAGGAACGTCTTCGTGAGTTCTCCCTACTTTTTGGTGGGTGTTTGAGTTTTTCTTACACTCTTCCATTATTTTGCCCAACTGAGCGACAAAAAAAAAGAGATTTAACAAAAGCAGTGACATCGTGACTGAGGAACATCGTTTTCTCAATGTTTTACAGTGAGAGCAGTGGGAAAAAATCTATTTAATGTATTCAGTGATGAAATATGAACAGGTAAATTAAATTATTCACTAGTTTGCACTGCACTCTCTGATGATAACATTGTCCCTAGCAGGCCAGAGACTCAGACTACAAAAAGATATTTCTGTAGAGTTGGCAATTGTCAAAGGAGCACTCCACTCTCCTGTTTGTGTATGCACAAAGAACATCAAAGGCTTGTCTCAGATTCTCAAATGGATGATCTTAATGTGACACTAGCGAGGCCTCAAAGGCAGAGCGGTAAAGAAACCCTCGGAATAGAAAGAGGAGGCAGCTTCCTGTGCTGCCACCCCCAACTTCTCCCCTTCTCTTTATCTCTTTGTCTGTCGTTCTATCGTGGCTTTGTCTGTCTGATTCTCTTATCTCGTTCTCTCACTCTTTTTCTCCCCCTTTCTGCGACTGTTGTCACTCATTCTTCCTTTCGATCACTCTCTTCCTCTCAGCGAGAAACACACACAGGCACACACAGAGTCTTGCCCCTCCCTTTGTCTCTCGTGATCTAGAAGAGAGGCCGTTTCCGATGTCGCTCTTAATGAGAAATGGCAAGCAGTCGCCGCAGCGCACCTCATCGCTACGTTGACGCAAATAACAAAACCCAGAGGTGAGATTTCACCACGGGTGACTTTGGGTTGCTATTTTTGAACCAGTCAATAGCTATTGATGAGCAAGGGGGGAAAGGGGTATGCATATTAGACTGAGCATCGTATATAGTGAGGTGAATTGTAAGTAGAAGAACAACGTGTGGGGGGATATTTATGGTCATGTCCAGCTGTC